ATTTGCTTACAAAGGATGTGCTGAACCACACCCAACAGGACCCAAGGTGAAGGCCCTGACCAAACTATTCTATTTTCCCAGCAGGGCCTTATTATGGAAATTGGTACATCTGAAGGTTCCATAACAGTGTCTGATATACACGAGGTGCTCAGTAAATATCTGTGGAAGGGAGAGAGACAGGCCATGGGACGTCATTGATGGGTTTAAGCAAAGGAACTACGTGACCGGATTTTCTGTGTGGGCAAGGTTGAGAGGATGAGGGTCAGCGTGATGTAGTAATCCAGATAAGAGGTGACAGTGGTGGCTTGAGTCAGGGGAGGTTACGCAGTGGCTTGTCGTGGGGGATCTGAAGAATATAATTTTCAGAAGCTAAAATTAACAGAATTTATGAAACAAAGAGACAGGAATGGCACTAAGGTTTGACTTAAAAAACAAGTGAGATTTTTCAGTCTCTTTTCAGTTCGGAGCCACTAGAAAAATTTGTAACTGTGACAGTGTAATTCCAGAAATGAAAATAAGGTCTAATTTTAATTTGGTTTTATTATCCACTCAGTGGTAGATAATGAAAAGATGGTTTCATAGAAAAGGGGTTCATGTTGCCTTGAGATTTTGATGTAAGCAGCATATTCAAGATGCAGAAAATCTCTTTCACAATATTACTCTAATGTTGGAAATGATTTACTGCATTTTCCATAATAGCACCACTAAAATAGCAAAGCTATGGCCGGTGGCATTAATATTTTAATGTGATTTTGCTCTATGCCATTAAAGCATCAAGCAATCAATAGCCAAGTTTCATGTATATGTCCCCACTAAATGAGCTCTGTGTTTACTGAGCAGATACTCCATTAAAACTGGTTAGTCCGTGAGTCTTTAATAAAGGTTTTTATCTTTGTCTGATAAAATGATGTAGTTGTCATTACTAGTTAGTAGTATGGCTGCGTTTCTCCCAAAAACATGAATAATAAATGTTTTTGCCATTGACTCCCTTGGCTTTGATACAATGTGTTTTGCAAATTTCAGTGGCATGAAAGAGGCATGAAGGCAAAAATTGATCCCTCTCTCCGAGGGAACAGTCCTCTTTAGAAGAGGTGTATCTGAGCCAAGCTCGAAGCCAAGTGTGCAGGAAAGGGCACTGGCCGGCGGAGGCAGCGATGCCCAGACACGTGGTGCTGTTGGTGTGGTCATTTCAGAGCTGTGCAATGTACATAATCGTGACAGGCTGCAGGGAGAGATGTGGGGACTAGAAAGGCAGATAGAAAATCAGCTGGGGAGAGCCCTGTGCTCCTTTATTCCACGGGCAGTGAGAAACCATCAAAGGTCTTCATTTAGAGAAAGGCATGATTACATGGGAGTTTTCGGGAGATCTCTCTCAAAGCAGTTTTCAGAAGATGAAAGGTAGACTGCAGGCAGCAGGGAGGCCAGTGAGAAAGCCACTGCATAGTCCAGGTAATGGTTACAGGCAGTTACAGGATCCCAAGGGAGGCCGTAAGAGTCTATTTATTGGGATTAGATGAAATAACTAGGTCTCCTGTTGGCTGTTGACTGCCTGGCACAATCTCTCATGAGTTTTGGCCCTTGTGATAAAGTCTTGGGTTAGTCAAGCTTATTTCTTTGTGTGGCAGGCCCTGGAGTCGGTGGCTTCACAATGGGCACATGGTAATCACCCAATAACTATTGGTAATTGACCTGATCTGATAGTGGGGGCTGATGACTAAGAGCCATTGGGCTGAGTTATGAATTAAGAGGGAGCATAGACACCACCTCATTTTACCATCTCACCTCATAGGAGGAAACTGGTACCCAGAGAAGAGAGCCTGATAGTGTAAGATGAATTTACAGTGGTCCTCTCTTAACCGTGGTTCCGCTTTCCACAGATTTGTGCTCGTGGTTTCAGTTACCTGTGGTCAACTGCAGTCTGAAGATATTAAGATAGTTTGAGAGAGAGACACAGAGAGAGACCCATTCACATAACTTTTATTTCAGTATATTATTATAATTGTTCTGTTTTATTTTTAGTTATTGTTAATCTCTTAGTGTGCCTAATTTATAAATTTATCATAGATATGTATGTATAGGAAAAAACATAGTATATATAGGGTTTGGTACTATCTGCGGTTTCAGGCATTCAAGGATGGTCTTGGAACATGTCCCCTGTAGATAAGGGGGGACATATTGTTCTCCAGAAGTGAGAGGAAGTTGCCTGATATGAGGGAGCTTTGCACTACAGAGGCAGCCCTAGCTTCAGATCATGAAGCAAAGAAAGATTTAGGGAATTAAAAAGTGGCTGTGGTCTCAACTTAAGGTGCCCAGTTGCTACAGAATGTTGCATAGCATGGGCTTGAGTGCTTCAGGTTGGATGGCATTGCAGCAGCTTCTTAAGAAGCTGGCCTTTCCACCTGCCTCCCACCAGGAGTACCAGGAGCAGCTGTCACGTAAACAGAACATCAGGCTTGAATCAAGAAATCTGGTTACAGATCCCAGCGTTACCTGAATCCAAGAACTTTGCTGGTGTTCACTGTCCCATGCTGCCTCACCAGGGGCCTAGCACATAGTAGATACTCAATAACATCATTGTCTGCATTTCTTAAGGGCAGGTACTCTTGTTTCTGTGTGTAAAGCAGCATGTTATAGTTGCTTAATACATGAAAAAAATCTGTAGAGAGCCAGCCAGGTCAGGCCTTGGCTTCTTTCACCGTGGGATGACCATGGTGGATCTGACAGATCTGGGTGGCCAGGCCTCCCCACCCCCACACTGCACCCCTACAGCTGCAGTGAGGCCTTCCGGAAACTGTTTTCTGTCGGAGGGGATGGCCTCCTGTGCCCTCCACACTTTTAAACAAGTAAGATCATGCTTCGTAGACATGGCATGCTTTCTTTTAAGTACAAGGAAAATCGCATGAAGTTTTTCGCTCTGGGGAGTTTTTGTGATCTCCTTCAGTGGATAATCCTGCCGCCTTCCTCTCCTACAATATGCCCCTCTTCCCTACCACACACGCTCCCATCATCACTTGCTGCATTTAAAAGCAAATAAAGCAGTAACTTACACAGCATGGTACAAACTGGTAAGTGTTACAGAAAAAGAAAAACTTAGAGAAGGGAGAGAGAACCAGCAGTGCTGGGGTGAGCGGGCATCAGGTTGTTTTTAACAGGGTGGTCCTCAGTGAGAAAGTGAGATTCAATTGAAATTCAAAGGAGACAAGGGAGGTAGCCATAGTAGATCTGGGGGGAGAGCCAGTGCACAGTACCCGCGGTGGGAGCGTGTGTGGGGACAGCCAGGAGGCCAGGCTGGCTGGAGCAGTGAGCAGCTGGGGGGGAAGGGGAAACGAATTCAAGAGGGAACGGGGTCGGGCATGTGACGCCACTGCTCCTCTGACGCCCTGTGAGGAAGGACCATTTCTCCCCCTAATCTATTGCAGACCAATATTTTTATAAAATTTAATGAAAATTAATTATTAGAAAAATGAAGTCTAAAAAACAGAGTAATAGCCTAACGTTTTATAGAGTCACATAAAATTACTCTTACCAAATTCGCATTAAGTGTTGACTTTGCATCTCTTTGCTTACGTTGTCATGGACTAGTAACCTACGCCGTGGACGGGTGCTGGCCCAGGGACCACGCTTTGAGTTGCACTGTGGGAGCTCATCACAAGGACTTGGCCTTTCCCCGGGCAAAAGGGGGTCTTTTGCAGTGTTTTGAACACAAGAACGACCGGCTCTGAGTTGCATTTTAAGCGAACCACTTTGACGTGCAGGGAGGTTGAAGTGCAGGGAACCTCAGGAAAGAAGCAAGGTGACCAGTCACGAGACTGTTACATTTTACAGAGGGGATGGTGACTCTGACCAGGAGGATATTTTTAAGGTGGAGCCCACAGCATTGCCTGGTGGATTGGATGGCGGGTGGAAAGGAAAGCGTGAAGTCAAGGGCGACTCCAGGGTTTCAGCTTGGATAGCACAGAAATGAGTTCCTATCAGCTGAGAGTGGGAAGGCTCCAACTGAGATGGAGCAGGTTGGGCGAAAATCAAGAGTTCTATGCTTTGAATCCGACTTTTGGTGCATAGGAGATCTAGTCAAATGCAACAGGTTTAACCATCATGACGTTGCCTAAGGACCTATGACTTAAAGTGGACTCTTTGGGCTGAAGAGAAACCCAGAGAGACCTTTAAGTCTGTTCTCTCACCTGTGACCTTTCACCATCCAAGGCAGGTGTTTGTATTTGCAAGGAAAGCAGTTTAGGAGCATGCAGCAGTGATTGCACTCTGACATCTAACTCTGCCTTATATGGAAATTATGCCACATTTTTTTTTACCTAGTTACAGGTAGAAGAACTATCTCCTGATTTCAGAGATACCAAGTTTGGATGGACCTAAACTTCATGAGGGTTTAGGAGCATGCAGCAGTGATTGCACTCTGACATTTAACTCTGCCTTATATGGAAATTATGCCACATTTTTTTTTACCTAGTTACAAGTAGAAGAACTATCTCCTGATTTCAGAGATACCAAGTTTGGATGGACCTAAACTTCATGAGGCAGCTCTAGAATTGGTTAGAATTTAAGAGCAAATCTGGCTGCTTCATCTGCCACCCATTTGATTGCCAGGATTAATTTGGCTTCTCTGATTGCTCATGGTTGTAGAATTTATTACCAAACCTTAATATTACTGAACATGCAACAGCTCTTGATATTTTACTGTGTGGTGGAAAAAAAAAAAAAAAGGTAAAGTACAAAGGCGCTTTAAGGTCATGAGCCCAATTCTTTAAAATAAATATATAATACACATGTGCTTATTACGTATCAACGATTGAAAGAAATACATTAAAATCTTACATGTGATTATTTGGGTAGAGAGACTACAACAAGTGGTACTTTTCTGTCTCACACTTTTGGGTGTGTAATAAAAGCAAGTTTCACGCTAATAATTAGCAATACTAATAACAGTTAATTAAAGAAAATGAGCACAACAGCCAGGTGAACGCTCTTCTCTCCGGCCTCCACAGCTCACCATCTGCTACCTGGATGTGCTGATGACCAGCAAGGAGCGCAGGAAGCAGCTGAGGGACCAGTACTGCTTTGAGTGTGACTGCGTCCGATGCCAAACCCAAGACAAGGTACGTCGCATGGAACCAGATTGGAATGCCTCCCAGGCAGTATCTCGGTGATCTTTCAGAGAACCCTCTTTTTATTTCGTTAATCCAAAATGAATGACTTAGTGCATGGAAGGAACAAAGGTAAATAAAATAATGCATTGAACTGCATCTATTTTATTTGCTGGAACTTTTGTCACCCACCAAGTGGAGACTTAACGACAGGTAAGGATACGTACAGCCTAGAGTCTAGTGGGAATGTAGGCATTAAACGTATAATTAAAATTAAAAGGATGTTGAGGCCAAAGTGCTATTAGAGCATATGTTACGAGGGCTGAGTTACATTATGATTGATAACAGCTGTTTCTCAGCACTAAAATACCAAGTTGTACCTACTTTATTTCTTTAAAATTTGTCCCATAAAACTTTCTACTGCAACAGTTTATCAGATGGAAATCACTTACCTAGCAACTTTTACTCTCTGAAAAAGGGAGAAGAGCCAACATCAATGCCTTAAAGACAATGAATGAACTTTTCTCTTTTCTGATATTTCTCACATACTGTCCTCATGTCGAACCTGTTTACTTTGCGTTTGCACTCAATCCCATTATCCGTAGGTATTCTGTAGAGTGTTCACATTGTTAGAATTCTTTTTAGTCCCTATCTCATTTGATCACAATAATTATAAATAAGTTAGGAAACAGAACACAGAAAGGTTTAGAGCTATGTGTCTGGGATAGGATGAAGAAAAAAGTGCAGAGCCAAGTCTCACACTCAGATCTTTTAACTAACTCTAGTGTCCCTTCTGCAATACCACAACTACCCGTGACTTCTGGTGCCAACAGCAGTGGAGAGAGGTAGTTGCATTCACTGCACGAGAAAGGACCTTGAGCTCATTCTAATGCTGCAGGAGTCAGTCAACATGATTAGTTTTGCATTAAAAAGAGCTTTTAGAAATAAGTGAATTAATGGGGCCGGCCCGGTGGCGCACTGGATAAGTGCGCCGCTTGGGAAGCGCGGTGGCGCTCCCGCCCGAGGGTTCGGATCCCACATACAGACCGGTTCCCGCTCACTGGCTGAGCGAGGCGCGGGAGCAGCACCGAGGGTTGCGATTCCGTTGCCGGTCCCCGGTCCGGTACGGGGGCAACACTGAGGGTTGCGATCCGTTGCCGGACACGGAAAAAGACAAAAGACAAAAAAAAAAAAAAAAAAAAAAAAAAAAAAAAAAGGAAT